TCCTTTTAAAGTAGTAGTAAAGTCTGGTTGTTTACTTGTACCTACATGTAAGGTAAGGAGATACTGTAAATATCTCCTAAATGTGCACCATTTAGGAAATATTTACTTGTGTAGCAGCACCAGCGCATACCCGTGCTGTTCCTTCAGAGCTGTGTGCTGAAAACAGTGACTCCCGCACACATGCATGGGAGTGACGTCATTGCTGCTTGGCCATTCAAGCTCCCCGAGCCCACGAACCCCGAAGAAGGACCGGGTGAAGATGGAAGCCCTGTCAGCAGTGACAACATGCCACTGGAGGGCTTTTTTTTAGGGTACGTTTCACATAATGCGCTAGTATGCGATGCATACTAGCACATTATGACATTGCCTTGCAGGGGAAACGTTTTTTTTTTTTTTTTTAATTATAAAGTTTACTACCACTTTAAAAGCCCAGCAGCTGAGACTTTTATATACTTATATATTATGTAAATTTACAGTTACTATACATCTATTGATTGCCTCATTTATACACATTAATTAAAATACTGATTTCTTAATATGCTGTATTTTCTCCAAAAGGTGTCAGAACAGCCGCTGCCTTTGTGACATGGATAAACAGAAGAATTGGACATAGTTTTGTGTTACTCAACACTACTGAGCAGTATGAATCTTTTATTCAGTCAGATACAGTTAGTGTGGTGGGATTTTTTAAGGTATGAACAATGTTATTTTTAATGTGGAATATAGATAGAATCTAGTTATAATTCTACCCATTTTAATAAATCGGTGTGAGATGTTTATCCAGGGATTATAAATTGCACACATTCTATTCATTCCACTAATGAATGTGTCCACACATTGCTTTTGGTTGAAGATTTAAAGAAGATCTCTATGTTTCATTTATCTTTAAATAGATTATTTGGATCAAACTGGTCCAAACTAGCTTTCTACTTCACTAACAGTTGTTAGTTGCTTACGTCTGTGAGTGTTGTATAAAGTGTATGTAGCATCAACTACATAGGTCTGTAGTATGGATATACCCTTAACCTGAAGAGCTTGGTATACCCTGTCCATATGATCTAATATTCTGTACCACATAGATTTGTGTTGTTGACAAAGACTTGTTTTTTGGGAATTTTTAGCAGTATCTGTGAGTACTTTACTTTTTTTTACATGTGTATCTACAGTCTTCTCAAGATCTTGATAACCATTGGATAACAGGAGTTGTTTTCACTAATTCTGTAAGCCCTTTCAAGTGGAGATGAAAATTGAAAAAAATATAAACTTTTTTAAAAAGTTCCAAACAAAGTTTTGATTTCAGCAAGGATGTGCAGAGAATTCTTCAATGGCAGCAGCTGATATGAAAAAGGGCATGCGATTAACTCTTTTATATATCTTTATGTCATACTAGACAATTTACAATAACATTGACAATAACATTGCAAAGCTGCTAGTAGGACTGGGGGATCTATTTTTCTGCTCTATTGGCCTGACTCGGCTGTTGTAATGTAATGGTAACAGGTAGATTGAGAGTGCATATGAGAGCACTATACTACATTTTTGCAGCATGCACCATATAACATAAGGCTGGCTCTGTTTGCACTTGAGCATTACTCAATACTTACACAGCCTTAATGCTTAAGCTTTAAAGTGTCATATACTGTATAAGAAGAAAAGATGAATACATGTAGAGTCTCCTTACATAATCCACTTTTATAAACAGGATCTGAACAGTAATTTGACACAGCATTTCACAGAAACAGCCAAAGATGTCTCCGAGTTTCCTTTTGGATTTGTTAGTAATGAAGACATTTTGACACATGTTGGTATTACTGGGAACATGGTTGCTATATATAAAAAGGTAAGATGTCCTTTACCCTTCATATTATTATAAAGTTCTACTCCAAAACTGTCAAAATATATCCATTCAGATTTAAACATGAGCTTGGTCTTTTTGAGGGTAGTGATACCCCCACACACATATAGGTAAATGGCATAGCCAGACTATATTTATTTGGCTGGCTTTGCATGAATATCAGTATCAGCCTTCTAAGCTCCTTTGCCAACCACCATGTGATTTTGTCATTTGTTCTGTTTTTTTTTTTCTTTTGAGGGAATAATGCTTCTTCAAATGAAGCTAAAATCTTGAAAAAACATTGCTGGGAGTTAGGCTGTTGTTGCAGAAGAGATTCAGTATGTCACTTCTACAATTAAATCTGCTCTTCTACCTGCCCTCAATATTCTCAGCATACATTTTTGGCCTACTGTAGGTGTCAAGATTAATTAATTCTGAATCAGGAGTGGAACTGTCGCCACAGCCAAACATGCGGCCTCTATAGAGCCCAGAGGAGGGTTGGGCCAGTCAGGACCAGCAGGGGCAAGCTGTCCCTTGGTGACCATCCATCATTGGCTGTGCTGTCACTTGCATGTGACATCGTGTGGCTGCCAGTTCTTGTGCTTTTTTTAGTCCCTTCCCTCTGTCATTTCTGTTTGTGCCAAGTGCCAGGGCTCAGAGTCATGATCTCCTATTGACATCTGCCTGATAGTTCCTGTTCTGATTAATTTAATCAGAACCAGCAGGACCTGCAGGAGAAAGAGAGTGCATGGAGCCTGGCCCTGTGTAGTGTACTGACTAGTTGTAGTAGCCACTACAGTGTGGGCCCAGGGGGTAAGTTGTGCACAAAGCATACTTGTACACTCACTGAATTTTGTGTGTGTGTTTGTGTGTGTGTGTGGAGGGGCTGAGAGGTTCTGGTATAATCTTTAACAATCTGCCCCAATGAAGCAGGGGGTGATTGGGATTTAATTTGGGATTAATTGTAAGTACCCAAAAGCTATTAAACTGAACTAAATAAACAGAGAAGATTTTGGCATGTTGGCAGGTTGTCCATCCAAGCTTTGAAATGATAGTAGTAGTTTAGTGTTACACTAGAATCAGATGTGGCCACCCTGAAAGGTGGTGTAACATCAGATGGAGAAGGACATTTCAGGTAAAACCATTCTGTCCTGTTGCAGGCCATCTAGATAACAAAATGGCAGGAAAATAAAGGCAGGCATACCTGGTGGTCATAAAGGAGCCATAATGGTTGGTCCCAACACATATCTGTGTATAGTCTTGAATAGGGGAGGATGTATTATGTGGACTGTGAAAGCTGGAACAACCCTATCCATTAAAAAAACAGCAGTATTGTACCTGCAATGGGTTTGAAGGAAGGAGAATGTGCCCCATATAATCCACAAGTGGGGAAATTAAATAAGAAACGAAATATGAGAAAGGGGGTAAAACACATAAATTCCAAAAAAATGCGGGGGTTCGATCTCTAAACCTAGGAGGACTATGCTGAGGCAGGTCTTTACCATCTAACTGGTCTGAGGTCTCAATTGAAGGTAGAGAATGACGATTTGCCATTGCCTACTATTCCCAGCTTGATTGGATATAGCATGGAATACACTATATCTTTCCATCTGTTTTCAGCTACTAAGAAGGCTCTCAGCTTTTGCACATAAGACGAAAAGCCGGGAAACAGTTGTGGGAGCCTTTGTAGCTGATGTCACTTGTTACACTAGCTGCCAAGATTGCAACCTTGTCTCTAAAGTGTAAGATTTTAGCAATCAGGGGTCATGGGTTAGCCCCTGGTGTAGTTGTTCTGGGAAGAGGAAGGTAGAGGAAAGTTCCAGGTTTGATGTTCCAGGTATTTTTAAATCATGTTTAAAGAAATGCTTCAGGAGCATTACCCTCAGATCTCTCTACAAAACTAATGAATGGGTAATTATTTCTCCTGGAATTATTTTTTCAGTCATTAAGTTTAGGTTAACACACTGAGTGTTCTCTTGGTGATTGAGTATCCTGTGTGAGTAGATAGACTGGGTCCTCCAATGTAGTGATTCTTCCCACCTTTTTCTGTGTCTCTGTTCTTCAAATTATTCAAATCCTGTTTGGACAATGATATGTCTATGTCCCCCACCCCCTCTACCTGAGCAGCTAGTAGGGACTTACAGTCTTTGACAGCATCCATGATATGCACCAAGGTGGGTCCCAAAGGGTTTTCAGCATCATCTGTACTATGGGCCTCCTGCTTTAGAGTAGATTCTGCCGGCAGTGCTGGTTCAAGTGAGCTGGAGCCTGTGCTGGATGAGCAGGGGGAGGCAGTAGAAATGATTGCTGTGTGGGGAGACTCTTCAGGAGAAGCTGAACAGAACTTGGCAGCTGGGCTGCTGGGGCCATTTTGGATGCTTTGAAAATGCAACAACTTTTCTTCCACTGTCTGAGTCTTTTGCTGGCTGAGAAATTGAAAGCAGATCACTATAACAAGCATAAAATCAGTCACATTTATAACAGATGTAATCAGAATGACAAATTCCATAAAAATTGTTAGATAGCCAAACAGCGATCATTTGCATGTATTATCATAATAAAGGGCCACTTTAGAGTGTTGAATTGCAGTAACGTAAGGTAAAAAGGTACATTTTCACAAGGCATGTTAACTTGAACTAAGTGCAGTACATTGCAGCGCCATTCATTTTGATTGGCATCCCAAATGCACCCCTAAAAAACAAGTAACAACACACTTGAGTTTTAGTTTACCACAGTGTATAGATGTGAGCCACTTCTGGTGTGCTGCTTTGAAATAATGCTGCAGGTCCATTACAACCTACATAGTTGTGCATTCTGTTCCACAGTGAACATTTATATATAAAGTAATGTGTGCTCTAACATGAGGATGATGGCCACAACGTTCTGAAAGTGGTCCAAGACTTTTGTAATTGTCCACCTTTTGCTTGTTTAATTAAATCTTCCTTAATTAAATGTGACACAAAATTACTTTGGATCTTGCATTAACTGTGTTTTATGAGAAGATTTTATTGCAAAGGATTGAAATTTTATTTGCATTATGTCTGTTTAAAATATATAATTTTTGTTTTATTTTATGTTACTAAAGGAGAAACCTGTCCGCTATTTAATATCAGAAGAGGAAATTAAAAGCAAACTGGACTTAATTCGATCAATACGAATTTACATCATGGATGTGGTCACAGAGTATAGCTTGGAGGTAATTGACCTTCTACAGTCTGCAATTTTTAGATTAAATTACATTGCATTAGTTGAAATTATGTTGTATAATAAGCCTTTTAAGTAGCAATGCCTTTGGCTAGATTACATGTTTTGTTTTCCAGACATCTGTGACTATATTTGATGTTCCTGTTAATAATCACATTCTGCTCTTCACATCAAAAACATCAGACAACTTTAATATAATATATGAAAGTTATGAATCCACTGCACTGGAATTTAGGGGACAGGTATGTATTATAATACAATGCATAGTGATTACTAAAAAGATAGACAAATGTTAATATGATGCGTAACTATCACTGACACTAATCAGGACAATAATGTACAGAACCATAGGGCAAGATGGTTTTATGTATCTTGTATTCACAAAACAGTTGTAGATGTTATGTAAAGTAGTTTTCAATTGTGATGAAAGCTCACTCTACTTTGATCCCTTCATAAAGGAACTTAAGAGATGTCCCCACCTCTTTCAGATACAGGGTTTCTCAAAGAGAACTATATGTGTCCCTTGATACTTGTTAAAGTAACTAAATTAAAAAAAAAAAAAAAATATATATATATATATATACACACACACACACACACACACAGTGCCTTGAAAAAGTATTCATACCCTTTACATTTTCTACATTTTGTCATGTTACAAGCAAAAATGTACAGTAAATGTATGTTATTTGGATTTTATGTGACAGACCAAGACAAAGTGGCACATAATTGTGAAGTGGAAAGATAATGATACATAGGTTTCAAACTTTTTTACAAATAAATATCTGAAAAGTGTGGCGTGCATTTGTATTCAGCCCGCTTTACTCAGATACCCCTAACTAAAATCTAGTGGAACAAATTGCCTTCAGAAGTCACATTAGTAAATAGAGTCCACCTGTGTGTAATTTAATCTCAGTATAAATACAGCTGTTCTGTGAAGCCCTCAGATGTTTGTTAGAGAACAAGAGAGAATTAGTGAACAAACAGCATCATGAAGGCCAAGGAACACACCAGACAGGCCAGGGATAAAGTTGAGGGGAAGTTTAAAGCAGTGTTAGGTTATAAAAAATCCCAAGCTTTAAACATCTCATGAAAAACTGTTCAATCCATCATCCGAAAATGGAAAGAGTATGTCACAACTGCAAACCTACCAAGACATGGCCGTCCACCTAAACTGACAGGCTGGGAAAGGAGAGCATTAATCAGAAAAGCAGCCAAGAGGCCCATGGTAACTCTTTAGGAGCTGCAGAGATCAACAGCTCAAGTGGGAGAATCTGTCCACAGGACAACTATTAGTCGTGCCCTCCACAAATCTGGCCTTTATGGAAGAGTGGCAAGAAGAAAGCCATTGTTGAAAGAAAGCAATAAGAAGTCATGCTTGCAGTTTGCGAGAAGCCATGTGGGAGACACAGTAAACATGTGGAAGCCATTGCCCACAAACTCAGGATGAAGGTGAAGATGGAAGCCTCAGGGAGCCATGACAGTGCTCCACTGGAGGGCTTCATTTTCAGGTACGTCTTTTATAATGGCAAAGCATACTATCACATTATCAAGTGCTAATAATACTTGTGAGCTAATATGATGATGATCAAAAATGTGCTATATTAATCAATCATAAAAAATCAAAAAATGAATACACATGTGGTTCGCTAGCTACATACACTAACTCATAAACAGTGCCAAAAAATCTTAATAAAAATTAGTGCTGCGCTCCTGTGTTATTTACCCATACTGAAATGTGATAGTAAATTAATAAATATCAAACTCATACAATTTTGTGATTGATGTGCATGTGCAAATGGTGTTGGGGAGAAAAAAAAACTTGCAGGTAGACTTGTTTTAGATTTTTTTTTTTGCAGTTTACTACCGCATTAACAGGAGAACTGTTAGGAAAATCTAATAAGGCTGTCTGCCTAACAGAGAGCTGCAATTGTTTAGTAGTGCTTGCTCAGTGTGTTCAAGTGCTGCTAGTTCTGCCTCTGGCTTCCTCTGTATCCAAGTAACCTAGTAAGGTTCTGGATGTATAGGTGGAATTCATGCAGAACACAGTGTGAATATTAATGCCACTCCAGCCAATTCCAGGGAGTGCATCCCTGAAAGATGCTGGGAGAAGGTATTTATTCTTTGGACATACTGAGCCCCAGGTCTTACCTGGAGAGGATTGTAACAGCCTGGGGGAAGGCATGTTGCCTCTGCAGGCAACTGCTGCCTTGTGGTCCCAGGTGGGCGACCTGAGAGAGAGTGACCCTAGTTCTTCAGAAAGCTGACTGAGGGGAGCTGTCTGCCAAAGTTCTGGCTGGTATCACTGGAGGGCATCACTTGGAAGATTTGAAAGGGGCTGCCATTCTGTCCTTGGACCTTGTGAGTACAGACACTGAGGGATCTTGGGAACTCTGTGTGCTTTGCTACACCACTGGTGCGTTATAGTCAGCATAGGTCTAAAAAAAACAATAATAAAACTACAAAAACAACCCCTAGACTGATCATTGGAGACAACAAGCGAAAGTGTGTGTACCTGGTTGTGAAACTACCTTGTGCCTGGCTGTGGGGGCAAAATATAGGAAAGACCTGAACAGTACTACAGTGGCTCCTACGGGGGGGGGGGGGGGGGGGGGGGGGGGTGGAGTAGTGCTACACAGATAATACATACCACCTAACATTTCATAAATATTTAGGCATCCTGCATGTACTAAGATCAGCGCCTTCCCACTGAGCGTCACCCTCTTGGATAAGTGTCACCCCTTGTCTGAGGTGTATCATGTCTGGTGCAAGCAGCTGCACCATAAATTCACACATCAGGAATAAAGCTATGAATTGCCATTCCTTCTTTAGAAGAGAGGAATGACAGTTCATACAACAGTAGACTTAGACCATCTACCTCTCTACCTCTAACCTTTGTACTCTCCAGTACATGACCGATTCCTACTATGACTTGGAGGAATTGGGTTTGACCTTTCAATCATCCACCTAGCCTCCATTCATAGATCATATTTCCTTAATAGAAACTGTAGTACATCTTCTAATGGAGAAGCTGGGTGGAAAGGGTGGGTATAGTAGGACACTCTTGATGAGAGTTTGTCAAAGCTTCATTAGTGCTGTTAACCCATACTGCACCAGAAGATTATGGGGGGGAATAACGAAGGAGGAAGATTTCTGGTCAACAAAGACACAGCAGCACAAGGGACACATCTCACTGAAAGTAAGTAATATTCCTTGAGCTTATTTTTTTAAGTTAACAGGCTTTAATAGTTTAAATAAACTTTTGCATTAATCAAGGTCTAAAATTGTACAAGACTCTAATACTATAAGTTTTAAGTTTTGTATAGAGCAGGAAATGTTCAGAAAATGTTCTTTTTCACTTAAAATATTTGTGAATATCCTACTATATTAGCTAACTATAATACCTTACAAAGCATTTTCTAATTACTGTATAATTGCATTTGTTATATATATCAAAAATAGCTGAATACCTTTTTTTTATAATGCTGTACATGGTGATCACAAGACCACACAGCCTTTGTTTGTCTCTGTTCCCCATAGCAGGGGGGTATATACAGTATATCCCTAGTGGGCCACATCACTCCTTCCTTCTTGGAGTTACAGAATGCTGTGCCTGCCTCCCAAGTCTGTTTGGTTGCCATGCCCCCCCCGAGCAGCCCCACAGAAGCTGTTGTCAATCAACACAGCAGCACTGGGTTGGGGGGTGGCCAAACTGACTATGGGGAACACAGGCATGCTGTGCATCAGGAAAGCACTCTGTAACTCCAAGAAGATAGCACAGCATGTAAGCTGACCACAACAGCACAGATCTGTTTCTGTGCCCTGAATGGTCAGATTGAATTAAGAAAGGAGGGGGAATGCCAGGATTACCGGGCATCTCCCTCTGAATGTAAAGGTAAAAGCAGAAATAGCTTGATTTAACAGCATTTACATAACACCCAGACACACATATTCAATATTAAAGTGGAATTTCAGTCACAATATAACTAAGGTAAACCTACTCAAACCCCAATTCTAAACATATTCTATCTAACCCTGTAAAGAAAAGATATCTATACTCAGGCCCGCATTAGGACAAAAAATAGGCCCGGACTTTTCCAGCGTCCGTGTGGTGGGGGCGGGAAATAGTGGTCGGGCGTTCCTAGCAATCACAGCCCCCCCTTTCTTTCTAATCCCAGTGCCTCCTATATATTCAACAAAGAGATGACCCAATTCAGCAAAGCAACGTCCCCATCCAGCAAAGGGACATCCTCATATATCAAAGAGATTACCCCATATAGCAAAGAGACATCCCCAAGCAGCAAAGAGACAAGTCTAGTCCAGCAAAGAGACAAGCCCAGTCCAGCAAAGAGACAAGCCCAAATCACCAAAGAGACAAGCCCAGTCCAGCAAAGAGACAAGCCCAAACCAGCAAATAGACATCCCCATATATCAAAGAGACATCCCCAGTCCAGCAAAGAGACAACCCCATCCAGCAAAGAGAAAAGCCCAAACAAGCAAATAGACTGCCCCATCCAGCAAAGAGACTGCCCCATGCAGCAAAGAAACAGCCCAGTCCAGCAAAGAGACAGCCCAGTCAAGCAAAGAGACAGTGCAGACCAGCAAAGAGACAGCCCAGTCCAGCAAAGAGAAAGCCCCGTCCAAGAAAGAGACAGCCCAGTCCAACAAAGAGACAGCCCAGTCCAGAAAAGAGACAGCCAAGTCCAGCAAAGGGACAGCCCAATATAGCAAAGAGACAGCCCCTTTCAGCAAAGAGACATCCGAATCCAGCAAAGAGACAGCCCAGTCTAGCAAAGAGACAGCCCTATCTGGCAAAGAGTCAGCCCCATCCAGCAAAGAGACAGCTCCATCCAGTAAAGAGACAGCTCAATATATCAAAGAAACTGCCCAGTCCAGCAAAGAGGCAGCCCTGTCTGGCAAAGAAACTGCCCAGTCCAGCAAAGAGCCAGCCCCATCCGGCAAAGAGACAGCCCAGTCCAGCAAGGAGACAGCCCAGCCCTGTCCAGCAAAGAGACCGCCCAATATAGCAAAGAGACAGCCCAGTCCAATATAGCCCAATATAGCAAAGAGACATCCCCATCCAGCAAAGAGACAGCCCTGTCCATCAAAGAGACCACCTAATATAGCAAAGATACAGCCTATTCCAGCAAAGAGACAGCCCCATCCAGCAAAGAGACAGCCCAATATGGCAAAGAGACAGCCCTATCTAATATAGCCCAATATAGCAAAGAGACAGCCCAGTCCAGCAAAGAGACAGCCCATTTCAACAAAAAGACAGCCCCATCCAGCAAAGAGACATCCCTGCCCAGCAAAGAGACAGCCCTATCCAGCAAAGAGATCCCAAAGAAACATCCCTGTCCAGCAAAGAGACAGCCCTATCCAGCAAAGAGACAGCCCCGTCCAGCAAAGAGACAGTTCAGTCCAGTAAAAAAACAGCCCCATCCAGCAAAGAGACAGCCCAGTCCAACATAGAGACAGCCCAATGTAGCAAAGAGACAGCCCAATATAGCAAAGAGACAGCCCCGTCCAGCAAAGAGACAGCCCAGTCCAGCGAAACAACAGCCAAGTCAAGCAAGTCTATACAAATTGTCTTATAATTTGTTCTAACTGGAAGTGTTCACAGGCAGTAGCAGGTTGGCACTCACTCACATTTATTTGGTCGGGGCCAGCTCCCTGTCTGTGGCAGGAGCAGTGACAACTATTTAGCATCAGGCAATGGGGTCTTCACCAGCTCCTTCCTCTACACAGTCATGGGCAGCCCATGGGTCTGCTGACTACTAGCTCCCACCACCTGCTCTGACGGCCATACAGGAGGGAAACTAACTGCGCAGCGATAGAGAGACCGAGGAGCGATGTGGGCTTGAGATGAGGGGCAACTCAGCTGCTGCATTTGTCTTGCATTTTGTGACTGCCCCACATTAAATACATGTGTATTGCCTGTCCTGGCCCACCGAGCAAGTGCCCAGTGTTCCCTATGGCCAGACCAGGCAAATGCCCTGTGTGCCTTATGGCCAGTTCGGGCCTGCCTATACTTAACTATTCTGAAGCCATTCCAGTCCAGTCTCCAGTTGCGGCTTCTGTGTAGAGGAGATAAAGCCAACAATGGCTGGAAATGCCTGGGAGATGACAATACCCATAGGCTTACTATGGGGCATTTATTGTTGGCTGTCCCTCCTCTACACAGAAGCCGCCACTAACAGCTGATCTTGGGACCGGACTCAAGCTGCTACAGGATAGGTAAATAAAGGAATCTTTTCTTTATAGGGTTAGAATGAATAGGCTTAGACTGTGTGTATACTAATGAAAGGTGTTTCTCTGATCTACACCCACCACTTTACTGTGATTAAAGAAGTTTATATACTATAGTACTGGTTTATTATGGTATTTTTTATAATTATTTACAGAAGCTTACCCATTATTGATCTTCCAGATCATCTTTGTTTTGGTCGACACGGATGAACCTCGTAACGGTCGGCTCTTTGAATATTTCCGTATCACAGAGGTTGACACTCCAGCAGTCCGTATTCTAAACATAACAAGTGATATCAAATACAGAATGCCCGCTGATGATGTTTCACCTTTGAAAATGTTCGAAATTTCTGTCAAAGATATTTGGATGGAAAAGCTAAGGTAATATGTAGATTTAAGATTCATTACTAATAGACTAACAGAGGAGCAGATAAAGAGAGCTCCTGTTAGTTTGCCAGAAGTGAAACAGCAAGATCAGGGAGTAAATCAAATAATTCAAAGACGTGATAATGCTTTCCAGGGAACACTGCAGCTCTGCCAGCATAAAAAAATCTACTTTGAACTTAAATTAGAACTTAAATTAGAACCTATAGGTAAAACTTTTTTTTTTCATTTTGGATAAAGTAAGGGAGGGTATACACCCTTGTAATTTTTTTTATTGCCATCTGTGTCCCATTGGGAGCTATGCTATAAAAGAAGTTTCAGCGAGTGCTACAACAACACAACAGCTGCTAGAACACCAAAGGCAACCATAAACCTCCCAATAATGTCAGTGTAAACAGGTGCAGCGCTGATACAAAGTAATATATGGAACATCTGAATGATTCAGTCAATCATAAGGGTGGTAAAAGGTGATAAGTATGTCTTAAACTAGCGGCATAAAAAATTATTATAAATGAATGCATTAAAATCGAATACATATAACGTGCAGAATAATTACAAGCACATGATGGTGGTCCAAAAAATAGTGATAACACAGTCCAAAAAATTGAACGTGAGGATCTCGTCAGATCACAACCAAAGTGCTTGTATTTCTTATCCAGGGGTGACAGATGATGTGACTTAATAAGTGAAGGGCGCACTCACCAGAGAAGCGCACCGATTGAAAAAATACGCATTTGAGATTTACTACTGTCTCATCAGGTATGTTCAGGTCATCTGCTCCAAAATCAGGCCAGGTTCCTGTTCCATTTCAGGGTCCCATGACAGGTATCACTGCATTGGGTCACCTCTATAATAGGGTAGTGGAATCAGTCTAAAAAAACATATGAATGATCAAGTCTTCAAATCCGCCAAAGTAGGAAAATAGCTGTCGAAAACGGTAGGATTATGCGAAATACGGTAGGATTATGCGCTTACCAGATGCGCATAGAATATGCGCATGTAAAAAATTCCTCCTTAGGGGCTACTGGTAATGATGTGTGATGGTACTCTGTAGAACATCCATCTAAGAATGGGCAGCTCTGAGGTCGGTGGAAGATGTCTGCTTGGCTCCAGAGGTCTCCTTTAGGGTCAGCCACCTGTTTACAGGGATTCCCTTCCTCTGGATACTCGGTCAGACTGGTACTCCTCACAGGCTCTGCAGGCTTAAAGGCTCCATAAAGAAGCCATTCAAATTGTGCCCATAGTGTAGTAGTTTTTAAATTCACTTAATTTTATTCAAAAATAATATGCAGTGATAAAGGATGACAGGTGCACTGACCATTCCAAAGATGGCCACCGGACCAGCTAGTGGCTCCGGCGGCTTGACGTCACAGCTAGTTGATCTCCTGAGGCTTTTTGTTCAACCGCACATCTTCAGAGGAAAATCAACTGAGCCATGACAGTTGTGGATCGGGTTTATATACGGTCTGCACATGCGCACGCGTCGCCGCCATTTTGCCGGAGTGCGGCTAGTGCGCATGCGTGGGTGCGTCAGTGGGTATATGAATTAGGTACCCTATATCCCAGCGGACATAACATAGAAGTGGATCTCAATTGTTTTATCGATAATAGTTAACTATTTGATATTTATTAAGATCCACATTTGTACTTTTATCCATTTTTAGGTTGATATGTTTTACGCTGCTTCCTATGTACTTTTATTAGTTATGTGGCGTCTAAGTTTTAAACACGGGTATTTGTATACATATATTTTTATACATATTTCTATACATATTTTTATCCATGATATTATATTTATTATATTTTTTAGGCTACACTGTTCGATATTTCATAACCTCTCATATTTTATAACCTCTCATATGCAGTTTTTTTATTTCTGTTTTTATTTATATATATTTTTTACCATTATACGATATTTTAATATGGACTGTATATATAATCTTATTTCTGATTCACACATATCCTGGTCGATAGGTCCAAGTTTTACTGTGTAATTTCACACTTTATGGTGATTTAATTTTGCATTTTGTAATTTTATTTATTTATATTGTTGTTATATGGAGTTTATATATAATGTATCTTATTAAGCGTCCCATTGCACCTTGAATCCCTCTCCTTTTTTATGACCCAGTGTGACAACTGGCTTTTCATATTATTTTTAGGCATCTGAGAAGATTTTTATCATCGTCATTACAGTACTTGATATTGTATGAGTAATATTCATTGATTTGTTATTTACCTGAAGGTATCACATCCTCAGTGTATACCATTCCACTCATTGAATACATTTAGATTGATTTACGCCATTATTATGTACTGTCACAATCATCAGTACAAACTGTATTAGCTGCTAGATTGTTTATTGCAGCTGGGATGTTCTTTTGTTAATCTCTGGATGTCCAGCCTGTCATAGTCTGACTGTGTCAGAGTAGATTTACTCTGCAGTCACTAAAGATCCACGGTAAAATGGCGCTGACGCGGCCCGCGCATGCGCACTAGCCGCACTCCGGCAAAATGGCGGCAACGCGGTGCGCATGCGCGGACCGTATATAAACCTGATCCACAACTGTCATGGCTCAGTTGATTTTCCTCTGAAGACGTGCGGTTGCACGAAAGGCCTCAGGAGATCAACTAGCTGTGACGTCAAGCCGCCAGAGCCACGAGCTGGTCCGGCGGCCTGTCAAGGTCCTTCCTTTTCCCAGAGGTTATGCTGCTCCATGTGCTGCATCCATCTTGGATTTCTGCAGAACATGGTGGGAGTCTTTTATGCCTTCAGGCCTCTGCGGTCTATCCCCCAGAGGGGTGTGGTTGATCACATATAAGCCTGTTGTCCGCACGTGCCCTTTACATTCGTGTCTTGTGTGTTAGTGTTGCAACAGCTCTGTTTATACTCTCGTGACTCTCCTGGAATCTGACTCGGCTTATGACTAGACTATTCTCTGCGTTTTCCTTTGATCTGACCTCCCGTTGCTGAACCCGGCCTGTGACCTGTGATTCTTGTCTACTGTTCTGTACCGTTTGTCCCGCTGTTGTCGAAACCGGCCTGCACGACTACGCTATTGTCTGATCTGATTCCTCCCAGCTACACGCCATTGGCGGCAGCCATTACCGCAGCTGGGGTGTCTCGGGGGCCGTGACCTGGTTCCTGGCTGCGTCAAGTCCATCCCCACCATCAGGGGCCCTGGTGAAGGGCAGTCTGGGACTCCGCGCCCTGAGGGCCTCCGGTCTGTGGGTGGTGGTTGTTGTCAGTCAGTGCGGGACCCTGCCACTAGGCCTGCCTGTCCGTTCCACAGCTCCTGCCCTGACACGGCCATCTTTGGAATGGTCAGTGCACCTGTCATCCTTTATCACTGCATATTATTTTTGAATAAAATTAAGTGAATTTAAAAACTACTACACTATGGGCACAATTTTTATGGCTTCTTTATGGAGCCTACAGAGCCTGTGAGGAGTACCAGTCTGACCGAGTATCCAGAGGAAGGGAATCCCTGTAAACAGGTGGCTGACCCTAAAGGAGACCTCTGGAGCCAAGCAGACATCTTCCACCGACCGCAGAGCTGCCCATTCTTAGACAGATGTTCTACAGAGTACCATCACACATCATTACCAGTAGCCCCTAAGGAGGAATTTTTTACATGCGCATATTCTATGCGCATCTGGTAAGCGCATAATAATCCTACCGTTTTCGACATCTATTTCCTACATTGGCGGATTTCTTGATCATTCATATGTTTTTAGACTGATTCCACTACCCTAGTTTTATTTTTAGCGCTGCACTTTTTATTTCTCATTGTATTTCTGAGGTTTCTTTTGGTTGCCAGAGTGTACTAGCTGCTACACAGGAGAGCGCTCACTACTGTCTATATATATACTATCTCTATAATAGGCTCTGTGAATGATGGCACTCACAGAGAGAGCCCAACAAAGGATAGCGTGATATTCAATGGAATTTTATTTCCACAAAATAAGGTAATAACAAAAAGGAAAGACGACTGACCATATAATATTCAGGTTGGCCACCAGAGGTGGCGTGACGTCTGGATGCTGTAGCCCCCCTGATGCATTTTGTTTGAAGCACTTAATCATAGGGTGCAGGCTGAGATCCTCACGTTCAATTTTTTGGACTGTGTTATCACTATTACCACCATCATGTGGTTGTAATTATTCTGCACTTTATATGTATTCGATTTTAATGCATTAATTTATAATAATTTTTTATGCCGTTACTTTAAGACATATTTATCACCTTTTACCACCCTTATGATTGACTGAATCATTCAGCTATTTCATTGGGCGATATACCTTCACTTCCTGTCCCATAGCCAAACTGGAAGTGATTGGAAATCCCTAAAAATTAAAGGAATCCTTTGGGGACCTCTAAATCCCCATTGGAAGATTTTCCCTCTTTTACGTTTCTGGGGACAACCCAAAATTTGGGATTTTCATTAACAATGAAAATGGTAAACAGGATAATAGAGGGGGTGAATCTCCTTGACAGGGGCACAGACAGCAATAAATACTTGACAGGTGTTCTAATCCATCTCCATTAAAAAACTAAAAAAAAAAAAAGTTTTGCCTTTAGTTATATTTTAAAATGGTAGTAAACCGGCTGAAAAAAACAACAAAATAATGGGCACCACATACTACTACATTATGACAGACTTACCTATACACACTGTCACGGCTCCCCATTGCCGCCATCTTCACCCGGTCTTCCTTCCAGGTTCCAGGTTCGTGGGCTCCGGCCAGTATGAATGACGTCTCTCCTGCACATGCGCGCCAGAGCCCTTGGCTGTGGCACAGAGCTCTGAAGGTCTTCAGACCACATGTGCCAGTGACATCACCAGCTGCATGCTGTGTGAATATCTCCCAAATAGTGCGAGTTTAGGAGATATTCATTGTATCTACAGGTAAGCCTTGTTATAGGCTTACCTGTAGCTACAACTTACAAATTGGACTTTTTTTCCACTAAGTTTTATATAACCCTCTAATTTATGCTTCTTTGTAATCCTCTCACTCGTTGGGCAGCTTCTTGTCACACAATTGTGTGCTATGTAACTTGCCTCTCTGTGTAGTGAACAGTAAGTCTATCTGAGTCTAGAGTATAAATATTTGGTCTGTATATTGCAATCATTAATAAACTGGTGTTCCAGTACCATATCATTAGCAACAATGAACGTATGCAGTGGGGCAACTTAGTATCCCATTGAAAGGTCCAGACAGGCAAGCTTTGTATCATGCATGTGTTTCAGGGTGTAATTTTCTACTTTGACAAGAGCCTTGGATAACAATATTTTTTAACTGAATGTAATAAATCAACTTTTCTATTTAATAAATTAATTTTACAGTATAGGAAATTCATACATGTCAACATCACCTAAAATTTGGGACATTTATTATCCTTATCCCAGATTATTAGGCATTGGTCATGTGGTCTTTGATGAACAGGAATGTCAAAACAGTGACTCTGTCTAAGAAATGTTTCCCACCATTGGCAATTTCCCCTTACTTCCTGCTACAGTGACAACATTTTCATCAGGACAGTGTATAAAGGAATATCTCCCCAACAGACAGCAATAAAAAAAACAAACCTGTCCTAATTTGACAGAGGCTCTGCTCATTTAGCCCCATGAGTAGAAAACACATGACCAATGCCTGGGATAAAAGGAGACCACAGTAGAAATTATCTGAGGATAGGTACTAAACATCAAATTTTCACGGACAACAGGGCTGAAAGAAGAACTGTCTGTGATACTAAAAATAACCAATTCGATTTTTCCTGTTACTCTCTTACTACAATATGAGATTATGGTACATGAAAAGAAGCACCTGATTGGTTGCCATAAGTAACACAAACATTTCTTGTTCCAGTGTATTGACATACTGTCATACATTCTTTGGGACACTGTTTTTAATATAATGGTATTTGTGTATTCTGACTGGCCCTCTCATTATTTTGGCATATGTAATAAATTAATTTACTTTTTAAAACAGCACCAAAAAAACAGTGAAGAGATCCCTAGTGACTGGGACAAACATCCTGTTAAAGTGCTGGTGGGGAAGAATTTCAACAAAGTTGCATTCAATAAATCAAGTGATGCATTTGTCATGTTTTGTAAGTATAGCTTTTTATTTTCCAATATGGTACAGAGATGCTGGATCCTCAGGATCGCTGCTGTTCTCAGTTTCATAAAAGAACACCATAGTCAGTTGGCAGATTATATGATTGAATGGCTGGCTATTCATTTTTTCAACGAATCACATGTTCTTCACTTGTGACCAGGGGCGGACTGACAACTCATGGGGCCCCCGGGCAATAGGGGATCATGGGGTCCCTGTGACCTTGCCCAAACTCAAAAAAGCCTATGAAAAAGGTACCAGGGGCATCTCATGGGGCCCCCTACTGACCCCGGCCCCTCGGGCAGTGCCCGAGTTTCCAAATGGTCAGTCCGCCCCTGCTTGTGACTATAAATGCATGTTATACTTCATTGCCAAATTTGTGGCTTTCCAAAATTTAACTGCATTCTCAAATAAAATATAAATTAAAAAAATTATTATTATTAAAAAAATTATAATTATGTCTACATTCAAAGATGGAGATTAGAAGAAGGTTTACATGGAACATTTGGATTCTAGGCACCAAAGCAGCCCTGTACAGAGGCGTAGCTGGGGGGGAGGGGGGCAGGGGGGTACATATGTACCCGGGCGCCAAGGTACAGGGGTGCCAAAATTAGGCTTACAACGTTATATTATAATAAGTGAATAAGGGTAATAAATCGGTCACAAGATCACTGCAGCGGCTGCAGCAGACGTATCATCTGATATGTCTGCCATCCACAGTGATGATGCTGCCTGCCAGCCACTGCAGCCAGCCGAGATACGAATTCTGCGTACAGCCGGTTGTTATTGTGGCAGAAAACAAAGATGGCTTAAACTCTATTAAGGTACACGTAGGCTGAACGTTGTGTACATAAAGTGTTTATTAAATTGGTAGTACTTGTTCTAGTATAAAAACAGTTCATAACTGCTGGGTAATGTCTGTTGTCGTGCAACAACATGGACGCGGCAGTGCTTCTGTTCCGTGAACGGGGTGGGCAGTATTTGTTAGCTCGCCATACTTACCTCTGGCCATACTTAAAAGCTGGACCAACGGTGGCGAGCTAACAAGGTTTATCTGTAATATTTTTTTATATATAGAATAAAATTTGTTATATCGATATTTTTAAATATCTGGAGCATAATCTGTGATTAAACGGGGAGGGGGGCTGGGGCACCAATTGTATAGTTCGTCCCTGGGCGCAAAATATCCTAGCTACGCCTCTGGCCCTGTACAATTGACTAGCATTCAATCTGAAGTCAATTCAGATGTCTCTTTCATAGCTTTGTCTGTATTATGATATACATCAGAAATGGATACTGGGCTGTGCTGCTAAATTCCACCTACTCGCTATCTTTTTCCATATCACTGAAGGAAGCTGAGAACAGGAAAAAACATGGAGGAGGCATTACATTAACATCCGTGTACACATAAATAATTTGCTCATTTAGTATGACTCTGTTATTTTTCTTCTTCCCCATTACAGATGCTCCCTGGAACGAGGAATCTCAAGAATTATTACCAGTGTGGGAGGATTTAGGAAAAAGATACATGAATAATACAAATGTGACAATTGCTAAAATAGACTGTACAGCCAATGACATTCAGTTAATGGTGCTGGATCGCTACCCTTATTTTCGTTTCTTCCCTGTAGGATCAGATAACAAGGTGAGGAAATGATCTGAAAATGTGACACGATCAGAGACTTCTGTTTCAAGTGCACCAGTCCTCTGAAACTACTGCTGGCTGTAAATGGGTATTCAGCCCGAAAAACAAAACAAAACAGGTTCTTCCATCCAAAAGAGTTACTGTAGATGGGGGAATCCCAAAGCCCCCCACCTACCCCCCTGCCAGGACATTGTATCCCCACAGTGGCACCCACCACTGTGAAAACACACAGTGCAGCTGATTTGCTGTTGCTTTTTGATCAATAGAAAATTTTCCATTCTGTCCCTTTGACAGAAATTGATTAAACTATTGATATCTGAGTTGGGAGCCCACACTCTGATCGAATTTCTTACTGGACCAGCCGCATTTTGATCTGTGCATTGCCAGCTTAGTAGCATGATTCTTTCCAGTCCTTGTGCCTGCATGTCAGTTTTTTTTTCTGAATGTAGGTTTAGGTGTGTTTAGGAAGTATCTTTTTTAAAGCATTGCAAGATCCACAAAACCTAGGCTGCCATGATATGTTAATCTTAACCCACTATGAAGAACATGCTTGTTGACTCATTCCTCTTTATTCTCCCAACTGCCTATTAAAGATGAAAAGAGGAACTGTGCTTTCAGACAAAGTAAACTTATCCACCATACCTCATGATCTAAACTAACCCCCCCCAAATTCTGAGTAAGACAGCGTGACCTAACTCCTCTAGCCAAAATCTTCACCGCCGGCTGTGCTTGTATAGTGAGCCTCATAGACTCATCAGGACAATCTAATGAGTGTCTCCAGTTCTCCAGTTTCTGATATAGTACTACTTTTTTTTAAATATGTATTTGAGAGAAAACAAAGTCCATAGTTCTCCTGCATCCAAAGCAGGGCTTCTTAATACAGAACTAAACAACTCGTGAACTACTTCCCACCACCCTTCTTCTACACCACCATTTCTAAAAAAAAACAGCGCATACCAAGATTTGGGAACTCGAAGAGACCGGCGGTTTATCTGTGCACACATGGTGGACTTCCATGTATACACACAAACACGGCCAGCTTCTGGTGGATGGGCAAAATAGTGCCCAGCAACATTTGTGCATGTCTGGAAAACTGATGTGTGTGCGCAGTGATGCCACTTAGTAACCCACTGCTGTCTAGGATAGTTATGTGCCTAGGCTGGAAAACCATTGCCTTGAAGCACAAGAAGAAAAACTGTAAAAAAATGGAATTAAAAAATGTTAGCATTGGAGTAAGAGGGAAGGGGAGGAACAGAATAAGAAATTGTTTGTTGGGATTTAGTTCCACTATAATCTAGCCATATGCTAGTAGATTTTCAAATGAACACATATGAATATTCATATTAAATTTCTCATCAGTACATAGTAGCTGACTTGTGGAAGATCTTTCAAAAGTACTTTGAAATTTTGTTTTCTTTTAACATTTGGTTTTGGAATGAATGGACTTTCCAAAATGAAAACCACATAGAAATTCATTATTTCAAGAATAATTTACCATACTGTTCTGCTCTTCAAATTTTTTTTGTCACTGCAGTCACAACCAAATGTCAGCTTGATCCCACTAACAATTAGAACATTTAACAAACATGCTTAAAAACAAAAATTTGGCCAGCTTTAGATAACCTTGTTACCAACAAAATATACTGGGGTGAACTCAAACTGCAGCAATGTCTGGACAAAAACTGAACAAAGCTGAGTTTTCTTTTTTAATACATGTGGGTGGTGTTTGCATGCTGTTATAGAGATGCATGTTTGTTTTATATATCTTGTATGTTTCTCTATCTGGAAAAACACCACCATTAGCTAACTTCTCCTTTTCTTTAAAGTCTGTCCGCTATACAGGAGGCAAGACAATCAAGGCATTCACAGAGTTCCTAGAAAATGAAATCAAGTCTTCAAAAACCAGGGAAGAGGTATCGTACATCAACATTTTATGATTTTTAACACATATTATAGTGAAGAAGTATAAGAACACCAGTCACCCATCATCTAATATCACCGATTTGCATACAATAGTAAGGTGTCAAGGGAGACCACAGAATATGATGTTTGGGACCTCCATCAGATGTTTATGGTGATTTTGTTTCTAATCATTCTCTTCCAAGGAGAATAATTGATTTATAGTATACAATCCATGGACTGATATGCCACAAATGGGGAAGTTGATTCTGATTGATATAAAGGATAAGATCTTAAGTTATCAAACGTAACTCTGTTTCTATCATATAATCTGATTAAATATTGATTAAAATACAATTGTACTCCGCGAGGCCCATAATGCCCCCTTGACGGAATGGTACTATTGTGTACAGATTAGACATTGGATTTTCTCTCTTTTTCATGGTTCTGTCTTTCCTTTTCGGAAGACGCCATTTGCACATATATGTCAACATTCTCCTGGAACCAGGGGTACTATTTCTTTACTTTATTCCTATCTTCTGTCGACACACTCCCCTAGTCCTCATCCCTACATTTTGAAATGAGAACGCGACTTTATTGAACAATTGGAGCTGGAGGTTTGGAGCAGGACTTGGTTGGCCGTGGCCAAATGTTCTTTTAATACTACCACTATGGAAGCAGAATATTAGGTTCTTTTAAGATGGTACTGGGTCCCTGCGAGGATCGCTCACGCGAACCCTTCTTGTGGCGATCATTGTTTCAGAGACTGCAGAATCCATGGAGATGAACTTCATATATGGTGGACATGTCCACGTTTGGTGGGATTTTGGTCCAGAGTGTACAGTCTCTTGTCGACCATTTTTCATTCGACCTTCCGTAGAAACCCTCACAATGTGCTCCTTCACTGCCCGCTTCCTGGTCTCCTACCCCTCCAGCAGAAATTAGCCACCTATCTTTTTATAGCAGCCAAGAGGGCTATTGCCAGGGCCTGGAGGAAACCGACTGTCCAGATTGTGGAGGTGAAAATGATCCTTGACCACCCTTATGATCAATGAAAAAAAGTCAAGCGTGCTGAATGATTCTCATTCTTGGTTCCTGAAAGTTTGGAACCCCTGGTGGTCTTACGCTCACCCTTCGCTGCCGGGATACAGTCTAGGTTTGCACTAACCAGGGAGGGGGACCCCCATGCTCAGGCCATCTCGGCACCCTGTCTTTCTCTTTGATCCTTTTTTTCCCTTTATCTATCCTTTTTCAGGCTTTTTCCCTTTTTGTCTCTAACTGCAGTTTTCTTCCTTCCTCTTTTGTGTACTTTGTACTCCATGTTGTCATAGCCTCCAACTTGACCCCATTCACATGTGCTTTTGTTCAAGCTTATCCTGCTCTAATTGGGGCGTGTTTTCCCCCTTTTTTTTTAATTTTCATTGCATATCAGTTATCCAGTTGCTGATGGTACTGACTGTTGCTTTTTTCTTGCATATTGGTCCCCTGTGAGGGACCTATCCTCCTTGTGATTTATTTTACTACATTGCCTCTTTAATCTTGAAAATGTAAAAACCTAATAAAAATCATTGTAGAAAAAAAAAATATACAATCGTACTCATGAACAAAGTATCTCACTGCTGCTGATGCAAAATAATCGATAATATTCCACCCTGGCAATAATAGTAATAATAAACTCAGTTTGGTTGAATTTGATCGAAATTGAGACTAAAATTAAGTTATGGGTATTCAATTGATCGGATAAAAAACTGAAGCAAGTATGATCACCAATACTGTCTGCCTGTGATTGTGATGACCATGGTGGCTGAAATGGTTTTCTTTTTTAAGTATTTTTTTCCTTTAATTTTACCTGGTGATCTGGCCAGTAGGTCTGTTATTTTTCAACTTCCTTTAAATAACAAAAGTGGCAGTTAAGGGGTTGAGACAAAAATTTACCACTGACAGGGGTACTTACAATGGTCAGCTTTTATTCGTGTAAAATTTTTATTCCAAAAAGGGTAGAAAAATGTTGCTGTGAGGTATCATCCACACCTGTGGCAGCCGTGACCACCCTTCTGAAAAACACTCTAAATACTTTTCAGAGGGCAGTAGGTGATCCGTGTAGGGATTCACTTGTATGTGTCATTTGTCTGGTTTGTTTTTTAGGCTGTGTTTAGCCACTGATCCCAATTAGGGATTTGGGTCATTGGATATTACTTTGTGTGTGTGTTTACCACATTGGGTCCAATTAGGACCACGGTTTTTATTTCACGTTTTTTTCAGGTCACTTTAAGGTCCCAGATGGGATCAAGTCACTATATATTTATGTATCACCTTTTATGAATTTTTATGTATCACAATTTATGATTTTTTTTACTATTAATATTATAAGATTATTATTTATGTATTCATAAAAATATGGTTTATTTATGAGCGCTACACCACTTTATATATGTTTAGTAGGTGATACTGCCACCTCCTGAATGCCAGTTCTTTTTCTGACAGCCAAATGGACATTCTATATGTAAATTTTGCACCTCAACCTCAAGCCAAATATTTGGCTTGCAGTTGTGGCATGGTCCCATATACAGTTGGATTGCAGGTGGCAAAGCGACAGGGAATATAGTTTTTGCTGCAGTCGAGACACATGTAAAGCCTGTTTTTACAGCCCTCCTGGCCTGTGTATGAATGAGGCCAAATTGTTTAACAAGTGTTAGCTGGAGTTTGGCTTTAATTAGTTAGTCAGGTCCACCTAAATCTGCTAGTGCATTTAATACTACCCAGATGGCCAATGCAAATGAATGATTTAAGGATTGGTAGGATAAGGTCTCATGCACACTTAAGCTCAAAAACGCCTGTTTTACAGGCATTTGACAATTTGTTTTTTCTCTGCCTCTAACCACTCCATGCACACATAAGGTTTTACAGGAGTTTAGAAGAAGGGAAAGAAAAACATCACTTGTGCATTCAAGAGAGGAGTTTTTTGGCAGAAAAAATGGCTGATGCGCCTAAATGTGGGTAAATGCATCTAAATGTACCTAAATGAATAAACGTCCAAGAGCTTGACATGCCTAAACGCATTTGCAAAAATGTGGCATCAGCACGATTTGAAGCTGCTTTTCTCCTGCTGGGGAAAAAGTTTATAAGAGCCCTAGTGTGCATAAGGCGAGTCAAATTTTTATTGCTGTCTCTGTCCACATTAAGGAGATTTATCCACAGTTTCTGGGACAGGGACGGGAAGTGAGGATGAATCTCCAGACACAGGCACCAATAAAAACATTTTTTCCTTAATTTACTATATGATAGTATTTTACAATGCATATTGCCTGAAAACAGCTCCTGACAATTTGCACCTTTTTTTTTAGGACTCTTCTGAATCAAGCAGTGAAGATGATACTAAGAAGTTTAAGGAAGAGTTGTAACTGTGTATGTGTTTCCCTACTTCCCCAATTTGTTTTAAGAATCAGATAGCTTTGAAATAAATTTCAAACAGTAATTATTCTTCACTGTATGTATTATTGACAGATTGTTTACTTTGAAGGCTATAACTGTCCAAACACTTACTTGGCAAGTTCCTGTTGGGCCCTACCTGTACAAATATTTGAGAAAAGAACTTACTAGAAGGCTACATGCACACAACCAAAAGAAACACATTTACTGCGCTAACAGAACAATATACAAACCAGGGCCATCTTTAATATTAATTGGACCCTGGGCAAACATTTTCCTGCCCCCCGCCCCATGCAATTTCAGGCTGCACCCCAACATTTCAAACACATTGGTTGCTAGAGGTTTCTGCACATCATTACTGCTCACTGATTGGTTGCTGAAGGTTACTGCACATTATTCTCATGGATTGATTTCTATAGGTTACACATCATTATGGCTCACTGATTGGTTGCTGAACATTTCAGCACATCACTGCTTGCACACCATGGACTGGGGAGGTTAGGGGACCCACCAATAGGCAGAACAACACTACTAGAGTGTGTTATTAGCAATGAGCAGAGCAGAGAGCACACACAACTATAAAGGTTAGGCAGGAATAGAGCCCAATGTGAGCATCATCCCGAAGGATGGGCTGCCAGGGTTAAATGACTAATCATGCCACCTGCAGTAGAAGGACCAGCCAGGAATAGAGAAGTCATACAGGACAGGGGAGACTTACACAAAGTTTGTCCTCCCAGTGCAGCTCGTTGAGTGTCCAGAGGCAGCCAGCACCTCTCTCTCCTTCACCGTCACCTTCCCCACCTCATACAAGTCAGCCTCTGCCCTGCCAACACTGGCTGTGGCCACCATGCTATCTGAGCCAGGCCACCGTTCTCATTAGCCCTTTGCGCTCTCCATCTGCCACTGGGCCGCTGCTGATTAGGCAGGATGCTGTAGACTCCCAGGGTGGAGGCTGCATGTGTAGTGTGCCCGCACATTGCGGAGTGTGAGTACTGGAAAGCAAATGCCAGTGTAGGGCCAATCCCGAAGGAGCCACTTGATAAATTTTGGTTCTCTCTTTGCTTACCTCTGTGCCCCCATTGACAGCTCCCCCCTGTATCCCCTCATCCACAGCTCACCTCTGTACCCCTCCTTGTCCACAGCTCACCTCTGTACCCTCCCATCTGCAGCTCACCACTTTTCCTCCTGTCAACAACCCACTTTTTCTTGCAACAGTTCACCTATTTGCCAAATTAGAGCTCAACTTTGCACCCCTGTCCACAGTTCGCCTTTGTACCCCCTGTGAAAAACTCAACTCTTCTTCTCCCATACACAGCTTACACCCCAAGCTGCGGATGAGAGGCAGTTCACAGAACCTGCCCCCCTCCCTAGACAACTCTCACCTATATTCACCACCCACCCTTTCCCACCCTTCAGAGCTCTCACCGCTTCATATGTTTAGTTCCCCACCTCTTTACAGCTCTCACCTCTTTTCACAAATCCACCAATCTCCCCCCCTTCATAAATTCACCCTCCCTCCTCTTCACAAATCCCTCCACCCCCCAGCTGGCACCTCTGCACTACACCTCCAACTTCCCCACACCTGTGTTAAATCAGTCAGTTCTTTTTCAGGGTTTGTTTTCTTCAAAAAACCCATATAAATTATTTTCAGAGTGTCAGAGTGTTCTGGGTATAATCAGAGGTGTCACCAGATTCTGGTGAGAGCTGAACCTATATATATAGCCAAGCAACACCCAAGGGTGTGCTACAATTGCTTGTGTTGGTACAATGATCTCTCAGTTCTTTTCAGATCAGCCTGCTCAGTTGAGCAAAAAAAAAAAGAGTGTGTGCAACCAGTTTTACATGATTGGACATGCATATACATGTTCGCATCTTTGCCAGTGCACAAGTTGAAGATATACAGGGGACTTGCTGTAAGTGGTTATACACTATGAGGTGCATCTGACTTTTCTTTTGTCTTCCTATGCCTGCCCCTCTGAGTTGGCGGAGACACATATTGTGAATGAAGTGGCACCACCTCTGACTGAAGCCTGTACACATGGGCTGAATATTGGCCTGTATTGGCCAGCTCAACAGATACCAGTTGACATGCAGCCTGTGTGTATACTAGTCTGTTGGACAGAAGCTGTATGAAAGGCCAGCTTCTGTTGAATGGGCATGCTGGCATCTGATCAGTGCTGGCAGCCAATGGCTGCAAGCGCTGACCAGTGTGTTCTGGCGGGAAGGGGAGCAGTCCCCCTGCCAGAACACAATAGCTCTACGATAGGATTGCTATGCTAACATTGGATAGTTAGTTCAGCAAGCTCCTCCCAGGCTCTTTAGTTTTTTTTTTTTGTTCAGGCCGCTGGGTTGAACAAAAAAACTGATAGTGTGTACTAGACAGTACTGTGCTTAATGGCTTGATAGCAGCTTTTCTATTTGTTATCCCATTAGCGCACTTTCACATTGTTTTAAAGTATATGCACACAACTGTAAAATGTTACTGACCATATAGGTAAGGTCTTTCTGGCACAAAAGTTCCTGTATAAATTATTGCTTTTATATACGTGTCTTAAATTTGGGTGCACTGGTCAGTAACTATTCAGAGGTAAGTTGTACATGATCCAGATGAACAAAGGTCAATATGCACTGCAATACCAGATGGACCCCTTCCCTTCTTAATCAGCAAGGACCGATTCTTGGAGAACCTCAGAGGCTCAGATGGATTGATGGATGATTCAGTGTGTATTTACATGTTAAAAGACAATGAGAAACTATATACTCAGTGTAATTTGTGTTTAAAAAAATAAAAATAGAAAGCCACTCACATGTAGTAGGACCAGACATGAGCATATATAGCTTTAAAAAGTTCCCAACTTCAATGATCAGGACAGATGGCAATATATTGGATCCTTAATGTATGCTTGTAATATCAGCTTGCTCTCTATTTACATCACAGAGAGAGGAAGAGAGCAAGCTGGCATAGTTACATAGTTACATAGTTAGTCTGGCTGAAAAAAGACAAGTCCATTAAGTTCAATCATAGAAAAAAAAAAGTTATAATCCTATCCCCACAGTTGATCCAGAGGAAGGCAAAAAAAAAAACCCAGAAAAGCATTATCCAATTTGCACCTGCTGAGAAAAAATTCCTTCCTGATCCCCCGAGAGTCAATTGGATATTCCCTGGATCAACTTTACCTATAAATGTTAGTATCCAGTTATATTCTGTGTATCTAAGAAATAATCCAGGCCTTTTTTGAAGCAATCCATTGAGCTGGCCAGAACCAACTCTTGAGGGAGTCTATTCCACATTTTCACAGCTCTCACTGTGAAGAAACCTTTCCGTGTTGGAAGATTATATTTCTTTTCCTCCAGACGTAAAGAGTGCCCCCTTGTCCTATGTGATGACCTCAGGGTGAATAGCTCTACACCGAGTTCACTATATGAACCACTGATGTATTTATACATGTTGATCATTTCCCCCCTTAATCTCCTCAAGAGAGAATAAATTCAGTTCCTCTAATCTTTCCTCATGGCTGAGCTCCTCCATGCCTCGTATCAGTTTGGTTACCCTTCTCTGTACTTTCTCAAGTTCCCCAATGTTCTTTTTGTGAATTGGTGCCCAAAACTGAACTGCATATTCCAGATGAGGTCTTACTAATGATTTATACCGGGGTAATATGATATCTCTCTCTGGAGTCTATACCTCTTTTAATACAAGAGAGGATTTTGCTCGTTTTAGAAGCCGCAGCTTGGCATTGCATGCCATTATTAAGCTTGTGATCTACCAGAACCCCCAGATCCTTCTCCACCACTGATTCCTCCAGTTGTACCCCCCCTAGTATGTATGATGCAAGCTTATTCCTAACCCCCCCAAGTTCATAACCTTACATTTATCAACATTAAATCTCATTTGCCACATAGTTGCCCAATTAAACAGTGCATTGAGGTCGGCTTGTAAATTGAAGACATCCTGTAAGGACGTTATTCCACTGCACAGCTTGGTGTCATCTGCAAAGACTGAAATGGGATTTTTAATCCCAGACCCTACATCATTTATAAATATATTAAAAAGTAAGGGTCCCAACACTGAACCCTGAGGTACACCACTGATGACCCCAGACCATTCAGAGTATGAATCATTAACCACTACTCTCTGAATACGATCTTTTAGCCAGTTTTCTATGCGTTTACATACAGATTTTTCCAAGCATGTAGACTTTACCTTACACATTAGCCGTGTGGGGAACTGTGTCAAATGCTTTTGCAATATCCAAGTATATCACGTTCACTGCCACCCCTCTGTCCAAGGTTTTGCTCACCCCCTCATAAAAAGAAATCAGATTTGTTTGACAACTTCTGTCTTTCATGAATCCATGTTGTCTGTTGCTTAAAATATTTTTTTCCAGCAAGAACTCATCTATGTGGTCTTATATTAAACTCTCCAGTATCTTCCCAACTATAGAAGTAAAACTAACAGGTCTGTAATTACTTGGTAAAGATTTTGACCCTTTTAAATATTGGCACCACATTGGCCTTACACCAGTCCAGTGGTACTATGCCAGTCATTAAAGAGTCCCTAAAAATTAGAAACAATGGCTTTGAAATGACAGAGCTCAATTCTTTAAGGACCCGTGGGTGTATGCCATCTGGTCCTGGTGCTTTATTCACCTTTATACTATCTAAATATTTTTGGATCATATCAATTGTGAGCCAATGTGGACCATCTGGAGCTGTGTCAATACCATGCCCATTATGGACAAGAGCTCCCCCATGCTCCTTTGTATACAGAGAGCTGAAGAAGGTATTAAATAAATTTGCCTTCTCTTTGTTCCCAGTCACCCACTCTAGATTATTTTGTAAAGGACCTACATGCTCGGACCGAACCTTTTTACTATTAATATATTTGAAGATTTTTTTGGGGTTGGTCCTGCTATCTTTTGCAATCTGTCGTTAATTTCCAATTTTTGCAGCTTTTATTTCCTTTTTGCAT